GAATGCGCATGGCTCTTTACAAAGAAACTGGACATAAATATTTATTAAAGTGCCTGTTATCAACCTTTAAAAATAAAAACCAGCCTTTCCAATGTGCACCCTCCAGATGTGTGTACATCAGTTTCCCAATTTGTGAAACTCAGTTCTAGTTAAGACCCACCAGATCCCATAATTCCAAGCGGGCAACAACCTATTCATTTAGGTGGCTAAACTACACAACATGCAATATGTATGTTATTATTTTACTTATTTATTGAACTTATATTCTTTTTCTCTGTAAGCTTAAATCAATATACTTGAATTTTTTTCCCCACCACAAGCCTGTGAGGAAAGATAAGCTTGAAAGAACTGATTGACCCAAAGTCACCCACTGAGTTCCATGGTCAAGTTGGAACTTGACCCTGGGTTTCTCCAAACTCCAATACTTCAACCATTGCACTGTGTTGCTTTTCTCTATAGTTTGTATTGTTCGTTGTGGTTTTTTGCATTGTGTTTTGCATCTTGGTTTTTTAAAGGTTCTGGTTTTTGTTTCAAGCTGAAAGGGGGGCTTATAAATATTTTAAATAAATCCTTTACAAATGTATTACTATAATTTAGAGTTAAGCCCTGTTCTTTATTATTACCACCAACTTTAAAATTCATGGAGGATAAGGCAATCATTTTCATTAGTCCTGATGCCCCATGCTGCTTCCAAGATCAGAAATAAGCTTGTCAATTACTGTTGGGGAAATATGTATGTGTATGCACGTTACCCTATTATATCTTGTGTACTGGCTTTATTGGACCACTTTGGAAACAGAACACCAGACAAAATGGGCCTTTACTCTGATCCACACAGTGGCAAGGGTATGCATTTCTTAGTGTAGTAAGGCAGGTACAATTAGGATATAGTAAAATAAAGAAGGGGAAACTGAGATAGAGGATTCAGTTTGCTTCCTAATTTCCCACAAGTTAATTCTGAGCTATTGTATATTACAAGAATAAAGATGTAAATTGCACCTGGTCCCATGGGATTGTGCAAACAAGTAAATACAACTTTTGTTTTGAAGCCAATGCAGACAGACAATAACCAATTAACCTGGAGGGGAAAAAAGCATTAACTGTTTTAATACTTGGTGGTAGACAAAACATGCACATCTCAAAAACATATATTTTAAATATTGACTAGCTGAACCAGGCCCCATTTCATCTGCTCAACATCTTATGATCAGTGCAGAAGCTTTTGCCCAATGAGTAGTGTTTCATTTTTGCACTGGCACATTTTGGAGAACTAGGCAATAAACTTACTATGGACTGGATGACTGCTGCCCTCTATAGGGTTTATTGCATAAACTGCAACAGCTGAAATCTTTTAAAATAATACACAAAGCAGAGGTCAGCCTGCTACATGCACACATATATGTGACAGATGTTTTGAAAGACTGAATAACAAATACCAAATGTTCTTTTATGGGAAGGAAGCAGAAGTGCTAAGCACATAGTAGAGGGGAGCGTTCAGTAACCTAAATCAGTACCTAAATGTGTATACACATATGGATAAGTTATCATAAGTCCCTGTGAATGCTTTCATCATACAAGTGGCACTATCTGCATTGTGCTCAGTCAGATAACCATGTTAACATGCATTCCCTCATTCTTTGAATCAGCAGAGCAGTATTTTGATATAAGTTGTGCTGCCCCACAGTTTTATGTTATAGTACTGCACCTCAACAATGAAACTCAACAGTTCTTGCTGTCCTTACCATTTTTAATAAAGGACAGTTTCAAGTCACTGTGGTGGATTCCCTTGCATCCTTTTCCTTCAAGAATGGTCAAATTTTGTTTTTTGTCATAGGACTATCAATATCTTTTGGTATTGATATTCCTATGGAGGAGGAAGAAAAAGCAAAATCACAACTGCAAGTGCCCCCCCACCCC